TTAAACATACACAATATAGCTGTTGATCACGTCTGGCAACCGAGTTTGAGAGCAAGTGGGGAAAAATCTTGTTTTCTAAACAACTCTACCCTCGCTATGTCCGAAAAGGTCATACATATTCGCGAGTGGATTATCCCTTATAGAACATTGATGTGGGTTACTCCGCTAAAGCCCTACTCCACCTTTGGCTCCACCCTCCTCCCTCCCTTGCTCTTGCCAAGTAAAGGGGAGCTTTCAGGAGCAACCTTGCCTCATGGGAGACGGGTTTTCACAGTATGAGGCAGTTTTACATGTTACTGTTTCAGGGACTGCGTTTTAATACATATTATATCGTAGTACATATTCTGGTGTTCATTTTACACGAAGGTGCATAGAGGGAAGGGAAAATTATTGATGGATAGTGTTGCGTCTATATGAATTGCCATGTGATAGTGCATGTAATCTGGCACGTGATATGGTGCAGTGCGGTATTTAGTTCAAGTAAGACCGGGCTAGGTATGATAACGTGCGACTATGGTTCCATCCCGAGAGGTAGTCATCGAGAACCAATTAGCATCTCGTAACGCCGGTCTCGATATAGCGTGTGAATTTAGATACATTCTGAGAGACAGCAATACCGCGAACCATTTAGTATTGTGTGGTTGTCGTCTGGTTATGGTTTACACTCTGGTGGTTCAACTTTGGAGATAAATCGCTGGGGGTTTGCAGAGGGGCTATACTACCATCTAACTACCTATCTGTATATCTGTCTGGAGAAGGAGAGAGAGAGGGAGAGGAGGGAGGGAGGGAGGGAGGAGGGAGGGAGGGAGGGAGGGGAGGGGAGGGAGGAGGGAGGAGAGAGAGAGAGAGAGAGAGAGAGGAGAGAGAGAGAGAGAGAGAAGAGAGAGAGAGAGAGAGAGAGAGAGAAGAGTGAGAGAGAGAGAGAGAGAGGGAGGGAGGAGAGAGAGAGAGAGAGAGAGAGAGAGAGAGAGAGAGAGAGAGAGAGAGAGAGAGAGAGAGAGAGAGAGGAGAGAAAGAGAGAGATAAAGAGAGAGAAAGAGAGAGAGAGAGAGAGAGAAGAGAGAGAGAGAGAGAGAGAAGAGGAGAGAGAGAGAGAGGAGAGAGAGAGAGAGAGAGAGAGAGGAGAGAGATGAGAGAGGGAGAGAGAAGAGGGGGAGGAGATGTGAGTGAGAGGAGAGAGAGAAAGAGATTAGGTGAGGGGGTGAGGAGAGGAGAGCATGGAAGGGGAAGGAAGAGAGGGAGAATAAAAGGAAAGGGGATATAGAGGAATAGATAATAATATACCTAAATTAGAGAGATGTAGAGGGACCAGTCGAAAAATTAGACAAAGAAATACAAAGACAAACATCCTAATCTCTAAAAGTAAAACGACCTTTGAATAAGCAAAAAAAAAGAAGCCCAATACATGAGAGATAAAATAACAAATACCCAAAATCGCCCAAGTCACAGAGGCTTCGTCGGAACCCCATGATAATATGAATGAGCCCCAAACAACTGGACGCTCTGCCGATGGTGTCCGTGAACTAACTCCGGCGACAAACGAAGCTCTCAAGGCCTGTGTTGCAAGCGGAAGGGCGTTCAAGTAAACAGTCGCACGCTTTCAGTCAGATGGGATAGACTCGGAATAGATATACGTGGATATAAAGATAGATATCGATGGCAATAGTAGGTAGGGAGGTAAATAAATGGATACATAGTTAAGAGTCACGTAGGTAGTAGAGAAGGTAAGTAAAGAATGGATATATAGGTAATAGGGTAGGGAGATAGGGTAGGTTAAGGGAATATATAGGATATATAGATAATGATTAGGTTAGGAAGGTAGGTAAATAAATGCGATATATGTAAGGGATCGATAGGTAGGTAGGAATGTTAGGTAGATAAGGGATAATGATTAGTTAGAGATTCGATAGGTAGGGAAGGAAGGTAGGTAATAATGGATACATAGTTAGAAGGTAAGGTAGGTAAATAAATGGTGATAATAGGTTAGAATCGATAGGTATGGTAAGAAGGGTAGGTAGATAGTTAGAATAGGTAGGTAGGAAGGTTGGTTAGATTAAATGGTATATTGTTAGATCGATAGTAGGTAGGAAGGTATGGGTATAATAGGAAGGTAGGTAAATAAATGGGTATATTGTTAGATCGATAGGTAGGTAGGAAGGTAGGTAAATAAATGGATATATTGTTAGATCGATAGGTAGGTAGGAGGGTAGGTAATAAATGGATATATAGTTAGATCACTAGGTAGGTAAGAAGGTAGGTAAATAAATGGATATATAGTAAGATCGATAGTTAGGTAGGAAGATAGGCAAATAAATTGACATATAGTTAGATCAATAGGTAGGTAGGAAGGTAGGTAAATAAATGGATATATTGTTAGATCGCTTGGTAGGTAGGAAGGTAGGTAAATAAATGGATATATAGTTAGATCACTAGGTAGGTAAGAGGTAATAATAATGGATATATAGTTAGATCGATAGGTAGGTAGGAAGGTAGGTAAATAAATGGTTATATAGATCGATAGGTAGGTAGGAAGGTAGGTAAATAAATGGATATATTGTTAGATCGATGGGTAGATAGAGAAGGTAGGTTTAATAAATGGATATATTGTTAGATCGATGGGTAGATAAAGAGGTAGGTTAAAAATGGTATATGTTAGATCGATGGATAAGAAGTAGGTTAATAATGGATATATGTTAGATCGTGGTAGGTAGGAAGGTAGGTAAATAAATGGATATATTGTAGATTCGATGGTAGATAGAGAAGCGTAGGTTATAAATGGATATATTGTTAGACTGTATGGGTCGGATAAAAGAAGGTGTAGGTTAATAAATGGATTATTGTTAGATCGATGGGTAGATAAGAAGGTAGGTTTTATAATGGATATATTGTTAGGATCTGAGATGGGTAGAGTAAAAAGGTAGGTTATATACAATGGAATATATTGCTTAGCACTCGATGGGTTAGATAAAGAAAGGTAGGTTAATAAATGGATATATTGTTAAGATCATGGTTAGATAGAGAATGGTAGGGATAACTGGATATATGCTAGATTGATGGTAGATAGAGAAGGTAGGTGTTAGATAAATGGATATACTTGTTATGAATTCGATGGGTAGATTATAGAAGGTATGTTAATAAATCGGATTATTGTTACGATCGATGGGTAGATAGAAGAAAGGTAGGTTAATAAATGGATATTTGTTAGATATCGCTAGGGTAGGTAGGAAGGTAGGTAAATAAATGGATATATTGTTATATCGATAGGTAGGTAAATAAATGGATATATAGATAGATCGTTAGGTAGGTAGGAACGTAGGTAAATAAACTGATATATTGTTATATCGCTAGGTAGGTAGGAAGGTAGGTAAATATATGGATATAATAGTTAGATGCTAGGTAGGTAGGAAGGTAGGTAAATAATTGATATATAGTTAGATCGATAGGTAGATTAGAGAAGGCAGGTAAATAAATGGATTATAGTTAGATCGCTAGTAGGTAGGAAGGTAAGGTAAATAATAGATATATTGATAGATCGATAGTTAGGTAGGAAGGTAGGTAATAAATGGATATATAGGATAAAATCGAATTAGTAGGTAGGAAACTAGGTAATAATAAATTGAATACATTGATATATATATGATATATATATATATATAGAATAATATAATATTATATATAATATATAGAGATGAGAGAGAGAGAGAGAGAGAGATAGAGAGAGAGAGAGAGAGAGAGAGAGAGAGAGAGAGGGAGAGAGATGAGATAGATATAGATAGATAGATAGGTAGATGATAGGGTAATAGTTGGTAGTTAGGTAGGTAGAATGATGGTAGATAGATAGATAACTGGATAGATAAAGGTGTATTTAAGCAAATGAATTAATAGACTGAGTACATGAATTGCTAAAGTTTTAAAAAAATGAAAGAAAAAACACTCAAGACTCGAGTAAAGCGGTTTCCACGGTAATAGAAAACAGGCAACTCTAGAAACGCGCGGGGCCACTTACCGGTTTCACGCAGAAGCGAAGCAAGCGTATCCAGTTTTAATACGCTGCTTCTGTCGTGTCCTGCTTACGAACTTCTTTACTGTCTCGTCGATGCTGATGTGCTATGCTTTTTCTTCTCTCTCTTCCGCTGGAGTGATGCTCTAGACATCATATAGCAAGATAATCAGATACGGGAACTTCAAAAAAGTGATCAATGCAGTGGATGACTCACAGAAAACGTGATTTAGCAGTGATACTCACAGAAAACGTGATTTAGAAAGCAGTGATTTCCACAGAAAACGTGATCAACGCAATGATCACAGAAAACGTGATCTATCATGTACCATATACTCTGGTTTATGAACTAATTTTCTAATTGAAAATTGATTTGCATAAGACGCACTATTGCAGTAAACAAAGTCACACATCGAAAGAGATGAAAGATATTGGTATTTCCATTCACCTTATAAAGACGGTGTTATCATGAAATTGCAAAATTACACATAAAGTTTTCCTTCGTCCCACAAATATCTGGGCCTTCGACTTAATTTGTTCACTTGAAACTGAGAGAGAGAGAGAGAGAGAGAGGAGAGGAGAGAGAGAGAGAGAGAGTGAGAGTGAGAGAGAGTGAGAGTGAGAGTGAGAGTGAGAGAGTGAGAGAGAGAGAGTGAGAGAGAGAGAGAGAGAGAGAGAGAGAGAGAGAGAGGGAGCATTTTTTTTTTACAGAACAGTGGAGATGCCTTGCAAAAAGCCAGGGTCAATTCAAAAGCATCTATCCAAAGTGGCTGTGCTTCTGTTAATGTAGAGGGCTATCAGTCAAACATTGATATTATATACATTCCTGAAGGACTGTGCCATCCGCACTGCATTATTATTGTATAATCTAGAAAGTAAAAAAAAAAAAAAAAAAAAAAAAAACGTTTTTATCACGACCAGAGTCTATAATAAAGTTAATCATTAAATGCAATACATTTCAAGAGATTGTTTGGAGACACTGATTACTTGACCATTTCCACTAGAGGTTAGTGTTGTTGAGGAGCGCGAACTGAGATTGCTGAATCATCTGCTGCATCTTCCGTAACAGCATTTGTAGCATATTCTTTATAACTCCGTTGGTCTTTTGCTTGTCTTGCTGCAGTGAGGGCTGAGCTGCGGCTGGTGCTAGAGCTGGTGTTTGAACTGGTGCAGAAGATTGGAGCTCTAGCTGGTGCAGAAGCTGGTGCCCGGATTGGAGCTCTAGCTGGTGCCCGGATTGGAGCTCTAGTGGTGCAGAAGCTGGTGGATTGGAGCTCTAGTGGTGCCCGATTGGAGCTCTAGCTGGTGCCCGGATTGGAGCTCTAGCTGGTGCAGAAGCTGGTGCCCGGATTGGAGCTCTAGCTGGTGCTGAAGCTGGTGCCCGGATTGGAGCTCTAGCTGGTGCAGAAGCTGGTGCCCGGATTGGAGCTCTAGCTGGTGCTGGAAGCTGGTGCCGGATTGGTCTAGCTGGTGCTGAAGCTGGTGCCCGGATTGGAGCTCTAGCTGTGCTGAAGCTGGTGCCGGATTGGAGCTCTAGCTGGTGCTGAAGCTGGTGCCCGGATTGGAGAGCTGGTGCAGAAGCTGGTGCCCGGAGCCCTCGGATTGGAGCTAGCTGGTGCAGAAGCTGGTGCCCGATTGGAGCTCTAGCTGGTGCTGAAGCTGGTGCCCGGATTGGAGCTCTAGCTGGTGCAGAAGCTGGTGCCCGGATTGGAGCTCTAGCTGGTGCGAAGCTGGTGCCCGGATTGAGCTCTAGCTGGTGCAAAGCTGGTGCCCGGATTGGAGCTCTAGCTGGTAGCTGGTGCCCGGATTGGAGCTCTAGCTGGTGCCCGGATTGGAGCTCTAGCTGGTGCAGAAGCTGGTGGCCGGATTGGGAGCTCTAGCTGGTGCAGAAGCTGGTGCCGGATTGGGCTCTAGCTGGTGCAGAAGCTGGTGCCCGGATTGGAGCTCTAGCTGGTGCAGAAGCTGGTGCCCGGATTGGAGCTCTAGCTGGTGCAGAAGCTGGTGCCCGGATTGGAGCTCTAGCTGGTGCAGAAGCTGGTGCCCGGATTGGAGCTCTAGCTGGTGCTGAGCTGTTGAAGCTAGCTGGTGCCGGATTGGAGCTCTAGTGTGCAGAGCTGGTGCCCGGATTGGAGCTCTAGCTGGTGCAGAAGCTGGTGCCGGATTGGAGCTCTAGCTGGTGCTGAAGCTGGGTGCCCGGATTGGAGCTCTAGCTGGTGCTGAAGCTGGTGCCCGATTGGAGCTCTAGCTGGTGCAGAAGCTGGTGCCCTGATTGGAGCTCTAGCTGGCTGCTGAAGCTGGTGCCCGGATTGGAGCTCTAGCTGGTGCAGAAGCTGGTGCCCGGATTGGAGCTCTAGCTGGTGCAGAAGCTGGTGCCCGGATTGGAGCTCTAGCTGTGCAAAGCTGGTGCCCGGATTGGAGCTCTAGCTGGTGCAGAAAGCTGGTGCCCGGATTGGAAGCTCTAGCTGGTGCAGAAGCTGGTGCCCGGATTGGAGCTCTAGCTGGTGCTGAAGCTGTCCCGGATTGGAGCTCTAGCTGGTGCAGAAGCTGGTGGAGCTCTAGCAGCTGGTGCAGCTGGTGCTGAAGATTGCTCTAGCAGAAGCTGTGCCGGATTGGAGAGCTGCAGAAGCTGGTGCCCGGATTGGAAGAAGCTGCCCGGATTGGAGCTCCAGAAGCTGGTGCCCGGATTGGAGCTCTAGCTGGTGGAGCCCTAAGTGGTGGAAGCTGGTGCCTGGTGCCCGGATTGGAGCTCTAGAAGCTGGTGGATTGGAGCTCTAGCTGGTGCAGAAGCTGGTGCGAAGCTTTGGGGAGCTCTAGCTGCAGCTGGTTGGTGGATTGGAGCTCTAGCTGGTGCGCTGGTGCTGGAGCTCAGCTAAGCTGGTGAACGGTCCCGGATCTTTGGAGCTCTGAAGCTGGTGCGGATTGGAGAAGCTGGTGCAGAAGCTGGTGCCCGGATTGGAGCTCTAGCTGGTGCAGAAGCTGGTGCCCGGATTGGAGCTCTAGAAGCTGGTGGAAGGCTGGTGCAGAAGCTGGTGGATTGGAGATGCAGAAGCTGGTGCGAGAAGCTGGTAGCTGGTGCCCGGATTGGAGCTGTAACTGGTGCTGAAGCTGGTACTGGTGCTTGAGCTGATGGGGCTGTTGCTCCTGCTGGTGCTGGTACTGTGGCCGGTGCATTGTTTTCCATTGTGGGGGCCAT